TATATCTTATTAACCAAGCGCGAGGGCCGTACTGGGAGAATATCGGCCCGAGGTCTTGACAGTACGGACCGAGCGCAGCGAGGTCCGTACAAAAAAGACTGAGGGCCGATATTCTTCCAGTACGGTCCCGAGCAAGCTTGGTTAATAAGAGATTTATTATACGACTGAAGTTCAAAGCGACACAAGTGCGGTATCATTCGGGACCATTCGGGACAGTGCCCGGTCCAATACTTAGAGAATATTGGACCGGCAATAGAGCATTTTGATTGGTTGATTTTAGTTATTGGCCCTCTGGCTGCCCGAGTCGCGTAATAAATACCTGAATAGCATGTTTAGTAGCACTGTATGTAGCTTGGCCTGGAGAACCTGTTAGATGGTTCCAAGAAAAAAATGAAAAATAAAAAAATACCACAAAGAGCATAGTAAACCATAACTGTGCGATCTAATTCTTAAAATTTCAGTTTGGAATAATCCAAACCTTGACTGACAAATTCCCAGTGGTGACCTCGGCAGTATTTTTTAGTGACAGTTAAAATGGCACTTATATTGTCTTCAGCAAATGATAACACCATCAGCATCAAAAGTCGTCAAAACAATAACCAACAAGAGTCCTCTCCAGAGGCACAGCTGGCACAAGATCATCTTTTTCTCCTGGTTGCATAAACATAAATAATATCAAAAAACGGAAATAATTAGACAGTAATAACATTCATCACACACCCACTTTGCCAGCTACACTGCTTGTAACTATGATCTGTCCTGCTTTCTGCTTGATAATGTGTGGTAATACTGCCTTGGTTAATGAAATTTGTCCAAGGACATTAACAGTTAGCATTGCTTTGTCCACCTCCACACCGGGAGTGTCCAGAACAAGACCACGCTGCGATCGACCACTGTTGTTGACCAGAACATCAATCTGTAGGGTGACAAGGTTCTCAAAGTATCAAAAATTTGATTTTACACATGGTAGATATATTTCCAAGATACATCTTTTCTATGGATTTCCTGGGCAGTAATAAGGTACTTCTCATTAGCCCTTTATTGACTTGCAAAGGCATTGAGTAATATGGTGTAAATTGTATTGGTATCTGTGGCCCTGAGGGCCAGTTATTTAAATATTCAAAATCAAACCTAACATGGTATGGGTGGATCCAGGATGTTTCTTAAGATGGGGTGCACCACTAAGGAATGCTGTACATAACTTATGTCTGCTTTAACGAATAGAAGGGCTTATGCTTGAAGTGTTAGTGCCAAACTACTATTTTTATGGGGTTCAATATAAATTCTTCAACTTAGTCTTATGTTTTACTTCAACATCAATATATCACAATTTTTTTTTTGCCCAATATTAGTCATGTAAGAAAGCTGCACGTCATCTCATGGGGGGTACCCATCTCTCTCCTAAATCCACCCTTTCATCTGTGTGATGATTGACACCTATCTAAATATAGTCATTGCCATGTGTTATGCTATTGCTTAATTGAAGTGCAAACATGTTTTCCTGAGGGTGAATCCTTCAGAAACAAAGACTAAATAAATCCTTACAAAACTAATGTACATCCAACTTTGAGACCTGCACTTAACTGAAAAAGCCTTGCAAAAGGAGCAAATTTGTTTTTAGTTCTCTGGTTTGGAAAACAGAAAGTCACTGTTTTATGATCTAGGGCTGACAATTTTCTCTTGCAGTGTATCTCTCCACCCCAGTGTATATGTTGTAGTTCAATTTTATCCTTGGTTCAAATTTTATTTTCCTTTGTTTCAAACTCATTATCATACATTAACATGACCCAGAACAACGGAAAATAAAATTTGAACCAAGTATAAAATTGAACTATAACATATATATGGGTCCCTGCAGGCTTTCAAGGAAATCTGACTAACTCATGGGAGTAACCCCGCCATAAGCATCCCATCCAGTAGCAGGTAGCATCCCATCCAGTAGCAGGTAGACATATTCCTAATTGCTTAATGCTACAGAAATCGCATATTGCTCCTGCTGGATGGGTTGTCTGTCTTCTATCATTTTCTTCAACTATGGTTTACTCTAAATTGGTGACACAACTGAAAAAGCATACTGTAAATTTATCCCATGTTAAATCGTATCAGATCACATTCTGAATCATGTTTAATTCACTGACCCTCTGAAAGTGATTCATAACAGCTTGGACATGGTCCTTGTGCGAGTCATAATCTGTGACATCCAGTGGAAGAACTAAGATATCAAGAACAAGTGACCTCTCCCTTGCAAGGTCTGACAAAAAGATAAAAAAAAACATTTTCAGTTCTCAAATAGCACTAATACCAGTACCACTTCAATGACCTTCAGTTCCCATCCACATTTAGATAACTCAATTTGAAGATAAGTGACAGAAGACATTATGCACTTGATGTTTTCATCAAAATGACAACCTGATATTCAAACGTGACTTGCAATTTAAGAATTTACGGAGATAAAATCCTGAAAAATGTTAGGCTTTTTTGCCTTCTATTTCTTTTAATATTACTAGTAATTGTAATTCACCTGTGAGGATAATTTCATTATTTGTTATAATTTACAATTCAAATTATATTTCCCTTTTATTATTTGTGATCAGACTTCTTATAAGAGGGGTAAAGCCTTTCTGGCGTAGTTGGTAGGCCAGGTTTGTAGCAGCATTCAACCACACCTGGAATTCGTGGGTTTCAATCTGGTCTGATTTCTTTTTCCGCTGCTTCCCCAATTGCGATTTGGGGCAAGAGTTCCATATAACCCCATACATTAATTATGCATAGAGTGTTGCAAAGAAACCTTTCTATTTAGTCTTTATGAAATGGAATACATAATTAATGTATGGGGTTCTATGGAACTCTTTCCGCGATTTGGCTGAGAGGATCATAATCCAAAGGTCGCATTAGCAAGCACCCCACACCCGAATCCCGAGTGGGTAAGGTCTATGATCTCTACCTACTCAGCATTCCTACTAAGAGCTATGACATGGAGGATAAACGAAGCACCTTTCTTGGGATTAGAAAATATATAAGCCTACCAATGCATTGCTCCTTTACCCTTTCTAGTTCTTCCTTTCTTCTTGCAGACAACACCAGTTTGCAGCCGCATTTTGTCAGCTCGTAAGCTAGATTTTCCCCGATACCACTAGACGCTCCGGTGATCCAAACTACTTTACCGCGAAGTTTCTCTTCTGGTTTAGCGCCAAACTTCTCGTAAAATTTGAGAATAAAATCGCAGTCCAGAACAAAGATTATAAACAGAATTACAGCGACGATTGCTACGAAGAGGAACATGTTTGGTAAGCCTAAAAATGTCTTTTTATCTCGTGCTGAATCTTGTCCTTCCTCGTGACGAATGATCGCGCTCACTTTACTCTATGTACGTAAACATGAAATTTTTCGGCTAATTGTTGGTATCTGAGCAACTGCGCACCTACCCCTCCCTTAATCCAACACTAGCTCTGAGCAAGTTTTTGTTGTTTCGTTTCGTCTTTTTTTGATTGTTTGTTCCTTTTTTTTTTCACTGTTGTTGGCTTATTAAGGGTGGAGTACACTTTGTAGGCGCGCAGTTGCTCAGGCCAAAAATATGCAACTTTCTTGTGACATTATGCTTGGTCTTACATGACCTACACAGATACCAGGTGGAAAGCAAGATGGCGTAAAATCGCATGGAGTTTTTGTTAATAGGAACCTGAAATTTAGCTTCTTCAACTATTTTGAAACCATGAGGACCTTGTTAGCTGCAAGATTTTTTCTGAAAAATCGTTATGTAACCTTTCAGTGGAGGAGAAATGTCCCACCGTTAGTACAGCAGACAAAATTTACAGTAACAACATGGAGCCCATTAGCTACAGCTTTCAACTCTCCCCATCCTAAACATGATCGGTGTTTAGAGCCAACTGGGCTTTTTGGTGTGCAAGATTTGACTAGTTCATCTGGATTCTCAGTTTTAAAAAATCGAGCCTTGTCAGAAGGTGGTAAAATTGTTAACGAGGTGTTGGAGTCAAACCCAACCCCTCGGTTAGTGGGGCTGTTTGATGAGCTCTCTGATACCCTGTGTGCCGTGGCTGATTTGGCAGAATTTGTGAGATTAACGCATCCTGATGGTCAGGTTAGAGGGGCAGCAGAAGACACCTCGAGGGGCATAAGTGGCTATGTGGAAGAGCTGAACACTAATCCCGGTCTTTACCATGCGTTAAAGAAGCTTCTCTCAAATGACACACATCAGATGAATGAGGAAGCAAGAAGAGTTGGAGAGTTGTTTTTATTTGATTTTGAACAGAGTGGTATTCACTTAGAGAAAAAGAAACGGAGGCATTTTGTTGAGCTTCAGGAGGCTTTGTTAGTTATTGGTGCACAGTTCTCTCATACAGCAGCATCTCCTGTTAAAGTTCCAATATCTCATTTGCCATTTGGTGATGAACTTGCTGGTATCTACCCTGTAGATGGTGATCATGTCATTATAGACTCTGCATTTTTGGACTCTAATAATGAGAAGTTGCGTGAATTGGCTTATTTAACTTGCTTGAAGCCAATAGAATCACAATGTAAAACTCTGGACTTGCTTCTTACCTTACGGCATCAACTTGCTCAGCTGGTAAACTACCCAAGTTATTCACATCGTGCATTAACAGGAACAATGGCAAAATCTCCAGAAAATGTCATGGACTTTTTAACACAAGCTGCAAATGCACTTCTCAAACCAGCGCATACTGAAATACAATTATTGATCAGGTTGAAGAGAGAAATGGCAAAAGATCCTAACTTAGAGCACATCATGCCATGGGATCTGCACTATTACTCAGGTATAGCAAAATATCAATCAGCCAAGATAAAAGGTTCATCTATATCAGCGTACTTTCCACTTGGAGCTTGTATGGATGGGTTGGATTTATTATTCAGGGCTCTGTTTGGAATAACATTAGAAGCTCAAGAACCAGCTGAGGGTGAACTATGGTCTTCTGATGTTCAAAAGCTGGGCGTGGTTCATGAGACGGAGGGACTCTTGGGTTACATCTATTGTGACTTCTTCAACAGGGCAGAGAAACTACAGCAAGATTCGCACTTTACTATAAGAGGTTTGATATATGTATAAATTTGATAACCTTTAAAAATCTTTTATTCTTGTAGGTAGCTTAGAGTCCAGCCATGTCTGATACAGTGAAAATGTGGAAGTTTGTTTCGGCTTACCTTATTTCCATGTGGTATTTCTTGACATCTGTTCCCAGGAATTTTTTTTAACAAGTTAGTACTTTCAAGGCTTTCCAAGCTTTGTCTGTTAGGTGTAGAAAAGTGCAAGCTCAGAGTGATGAATCAGAATATTTTGGCTGATAACCAAACCAACACAGTGATAGCAATAATTATGCCATGTATGTAGATCTACTTCTGTGTGCTAAACTTGTGTAAAGCAAATCTCATTCTTAAAATTAACTGTAAAGAGGCAGTACATCTGATCCTTGATGATCATGCAGCTTCAAGTGAGTTTTTCAGGAAATTAATGCCACCCAATGAAGACAGTGAATTAAGATTTTGTTTTGTGGCTGTATCCTTGTAAGTTATTATTGTCTTTATCTGGCTGCCAGGTGGTCGAGAACTTGATGATGGCTCCTATCAGCTTCCCATCGTTGTTGTGGTCTGCAACTTTCCTTCCCCTGGGGTGTCATCCCCTCCACTTCTTAGTCATAGCATGGTGGAGAACTTGTTTCATGAAATGGGTCATGCGATGCATTCCATGCTGGCTCGCACTCAGTATCAACATGTCACAGGTACCAGGTGTTCCACAGACTTTGCTGAGGTTCCTTCAGTACTCATGGAGTACTTTGCATGGGACCCAAGAGTGCTAATGAAGTTTGCCTGCCATTACAAAACTGGGCAAAGCCTGCCAGAAGAATTTGCACAGCGTCTCTGTCAAGGGCGGACAATGTTTGGAGCTTTGGAGATGCAGCGGCAGGTTCTATATGCAATGATTGATCAGATATATCACAGTAAGCACCCATTGGATGGATCTACTACAGATATTCTGGTGCAAGTTCAAGAGAAGTACACCTTGATACCGCATGCCCCAGGTATGATATGTGTGTAGGTTTGAATGACCAATTTTAGTGGCTTGCATTGTTAGCAACAGTCCCAGTACTTTGATTTCCAAATGAAACTTTGCAATGATTGATCCAAATTAGACAATCTACATTTCTTTGTTCATCTCTCTCCATACAATCAGTTGATTGTAAGGCAACTGACTCAGCATAAGCCTGAATTTTGGAGATTTTAACTTCCATTTGTCAGGACTTTTCAATAAGATGGTCACTGCACTGTAAGGTTGTGCAGCTGATGTACAGTCATGAAGGCAGAATTAGCCAAATTTTGTTATCAGTTGTCAGAAGACCTCCATTGATTGGCAGCTGTGATGAGGTTTTTCTAGGGCAATTTCAAAATTTTCAAATCAGTAGGCTCATCCTGGTTTCAGTGAAGTGAAAGAACCAGGATGCTTCTCCACTGCAGGTTACCCTCACTATTTCATCAGGTTTCCTTGACAATTGGTTGGTAGTCCTGTGGTACTCCTGAGTAAAATGAGGCAATGTGAGAATAAAGTGACTTTTCAAAGAACACAAAACAGTGACACCTGCTTGGGCTCAAGGTGGACCTTTAGATTCAGAGTCCACTATTCTGACAACTCAGTCACCATTTTCTCTCTTAACCCTTTACATCCTAACAGAAGTATGCATTAAATTCTCCATACTGTTTTCTTTACATTTCTTTTGGTTGTGACAAGGAGAATTTGGTTGGTAATCAAAGCCTCTTCTAGTGGTGATCATTTCCTTTATTCTCGTGACCTTAAGAAGCATTCATCAGTTTTACTGTAAGGAGAAATTAGATGTTAATCACTCTGAGGATTTAAAAGGTTAAGTCAAAATTAAAATGAGTGTTGTTAAAGTCAACTTGTAGAGCTCTCTTTTAACCCTTTAACTCCCAGAAGTGATTAACATGTAACTTCTCCCTTTAATACCCATACATTACCCAGCAAACAGGTAGTGAGAATACTCAAACTTATCAGGTAGAAGTTATTACCTCGATTGAACACCAAATTCTTGCTACCAATATACAAGGAAATGTGTAGCAGCTAGAGGAGAGAATTAATAATCAGATCTTGGGAGCTATCAATCCAGGCATAGTACACTAACTAAACAATTCATATACTTAACAACATTCACAGCCTAAGTGCTCTACCAGAAATTAAAGTGCCCATAAGTGTCTTCTGTCTCCTTTTGAATGACATCAATGTTAGAAGTCTCCAAGAGGTAGTTTAGTATTCCATCCTTTTTTATTTTTTAAATTATTTAAATTAGAGACAGCTTGGCAACAGAGGTTCAGCCATCTCAATGGTTATGGAGCAAAGTATTACTCATACTTGTGGTCCAGGGCTGTAGCATCACGTATCTGGCATCAGTGCTTTGCTAAGGATCCTTTTTCACGAGAAATGGGTGAAAGATATCGTCACACCATGCTTGCTTATGGAGGTGGAAGAGAACCAAACTGCCTTGTTGAAGACATGCTGGAGAAGAAATTTACCACCAGTGACTTGGTGCAGTCATTGCTGGATGATCTGAAATCCTCAAATCCATTCTTTTAATATACTTAATTTCATGTGAACTTTGAACCATTTGTCTCAGAGTTAAGAGTTGTTATAAGCTGTAGAGGTAAGCTATCAGACTAGGATGACAGGGTTTTGACTTTTTAACTGCTCGTTTTTGTGAGATATTGAGGTTGAATGATTAGGCATAGCCATTGGACATGTAGCATTTGGTTTGATTGATCATGACCAGGGTAAACAATCATATCTTTGATTTTACAACTTAGGCATAAAGAAGTGGATACAGACACAGCCATATAATAATCATGAATATTAGCCCTTCTGGTTGGGAGAAGTGTTTAAAAACAGTTGAATCTTTGCTCAAAGGCTTGAAGAGGTTTATTTGTATGCACCTAACAGGATAAGAATCATGTGTAGCTAAATGAAAGAGGTCTATAACTGACGTCAGGTGACCCCTCCCACAATTCTCCCTGGTTGATTTATTCCCTCGTCCATATTTTCCATCCCATGGAATGTATGGGGCTAAGATTAGATAAGATGGACAGAGCTGTCTTCAATGCAGCTTTATTTTGATCTTTATCCATGAATTCTATCATTATTTTATATTTATGTTGAAAAAAATAAAAAACAGCAGGAGAGAAAATTAAATGGGAATTTAAGGACAGAATTTCCTTAAAAGCCCCTCTTTAGGTGGTTTGCACGTTATGTCATCCTGCCATGGTATCCCGCCATGGTGGACGTAAACAATAGATATCTCATTAGCTTCTTTTGTTCGTCCACTAGCATTTGTTCCTTTCACCATTGTTACCTGTGTCTCTAGAGATTGGTTGCAAACCACCTATTTGTAAAATATTTTTGTGGGGATGGAAGAGAATTTTATCTCCCCTCTCCGCCCCTTTCCCGCCCACTTTTTCTGAAGTAAAACCTGGCGGCACGGCAAGTCACGGGTGCTGCTCAGCACTTTCCTCGTCCCTGGTTTCGCTTTTAAAACGACGCTACCTGCCCCATAAGCTTTTTCAGGGTTCTTCTCGAGAACGCTCGGGCTTGATATGGCCCCAAACTTGTAAACCTCGCTTTGGTGGAACAACAAAATTATTTGAGCAATTTCCCGGCTATTCACCGTAACAACGCGCGAGCAGACGGACAAGCATTGTAGTTCCAACAGCAATAATGAATAATCTTCGTTACACTTTGACGGCTCAAAATCTTTATTACCTCTCCCCGAGAAGTCCTTGTGATTAGTCATGTTATTTTCCGATCTGACAGTTATTGTCTCCTGTACGAATCAAATCTCATTATTCCTCAATGCCCGCTGGGGTGGTCGAACAGTCGTATCTCTCAGGGGTCATTAGGATTCACACGTGCCTTTCTCGTTGAAGCTACCTTCGGAAAATTTCTTTCTTCAGTACGGCAGTTTGTTAGTGCAGCAATGTCGAAGCCCCGGGTTTTCTTTGATATGAGCATTGGTGGAGAGCCTGCCGGACGTATTGTGTTTGAGGTAAGTGGAATGACGTTTGATTTACCATTGTGTGAGCGTCTGCCCAATGAATAAATTCGACGATGATAGCGAAATAGAAAATTGGTAGAAAACCCGGAAAAGCATCGTTTGAAATATCTTAATCAGGCAAGATTTCCGTATAACCCCTTACTTCATTATGCATACAATTCTTGGATAAAAGAAAGCAGAGGCAAAACAACAGACTACCTTCGGTACTACGGCTTTGTTTTTGATTGGTATACGGAGTTATACGGAAATCTTTCCCTCGATCGTCAATTCTGCGTCGAAAAAACATGAAAACTTGCTAAATGAAGGACAGAAGCTATTTAACTTTATCAACTGAAGGCCAGACCATAGTTAACTATGGCCAGACGAATTACGCTAAAGATAGGTTCAGCTGCTGTACTGCACTCTTTTATTGTACCTCGCAGAGTGATAGGTTGCCAAAGCAATATATTCATCAACCTACTATATTTTTCGACTTATTTACCCTCAAGTTTATGTAAAACTTCTCTACCTCTTTGCTTTGTAGCTCAGAGCCGATGTAGTTCCGAAAACTGCAGGTATGTTGTGACATCAACGACTTTGAACATCTTTTAGGTACGCAATATTTTGTCCATTCATTCTGTTGCGCACGACATCCGATCGCGAAGGAAGGCGCAAGATGGAGAGGTTGTTCAGTCATAATCGGAGGATGTTCAGCAAATGATCTAAATCGTCAATTTAACACCTTTTCATGCAATAATTTGTGCAAAGAACCCAGGGCTCTCCTTTTTGGCGTTTGATAGCACATGGTTGTCAAAAATAAATGTTCACATCGTTTAGCACAGAGAATAAGAAAACTGGATGAAGGCTCTTTCTCTTTGGGAACTTGTAAACTTTACATGTGTTTATCAACCTGTATATTGTTAACAGTAGAAGGTACGTTGTGTGAAGCATAAATTGTTTTGCTTTGGCCATAAGACACCCACACATTGTCTGAATTTTTGAAATTCCTAGAGGAAATTTACAGGAATGTCGAATAGCATTTTATGATATACATACTAAGATTTACACACTGAAAAGGTGCAAAATAATACCATATAGAAAGTCTGTCCAAATGGTAATTCTGCATTTGTCTGTTTGTATCAGAAATCTCACTCATTCACTGAGCTTATGGAAATACTGTGACAAAATACTGTTAGAAGCATGCAGTTATTGTTAGATCATTAGTGGTGTCTTCATTATCCCATTATGATAATAACCCATTTCCGAATTACCCTTGGCCTCATCTTCAAAACGAGGCCTGGTGCTCAACCATTCTTGTGAAAATGAGTTTAATTTGCATGTGAATGAAAACTTATAATCATATGAAAGGATGAGCACCAGGACTCGTTTTGAAAAGGAGGCTAAGGGTAATTCGGAAGTGGGTTATTGTGCATGTCCATATGTTTACAGCTTATACATACATACATACATACATACATACGTTACTTGACCACTCCCTATAGGGGCTTTTCAGGGCCAATTCCCACCCATCCCACCCCAGGGGAGGACATCCACTACGCAGTAATCTCGTGCGTGGGAAATAAACATCTCCTACCCCTAACCCTGCAGGAGACAGGGCCTACGGTTTATTTGTCCTTATCCGAGAAGACTAGAATATCTATCCATTTTTTTTATTATAGAAAGGTAGCATATTGGAGTTTTTTTTATTATAATCTTGCCATTACAAATATTAGTGATTTGAAGGGTGCAGCAATGGATGTTTTCTTGAGCATTTATCATAGCATTGGGACAGTCTGTGACTGTGTTCCCTGGATTGCTGGCAACTTTACTTAACCCTAGCTATGCCGTGGGCCATCGATAAACACCCAGATTTTCCGCGGCCGATCTGATTGGCCTCTTGTTCTAAACACAGCTGTGATTGGTCAACTTTTAATTATTGTCTTATAATGACCAATAAAAGAAAAGAATGTATTTTTGTTTTTTGTCGGCCATTGTTTTAGTCCGTTTGTGACAGCGATCGCCTGACTTCTAACATATTTTCAGCGGTTTAAAGAGTGCGTGAAAACATCCTGGCGACAAGGTTCACAAAGGTTCGGAAGCAAATTCTTCCGAAGACTTTGACAGGAACTCAGAGTATGAACAATGTTCTGAAACATCTGACAGCGATGACATTTCTTTTCAAGAAAGCAGTAATAGTTCAGAATCCGAAGAAAATAGTGATGATGAGCTAAATAACACTCCCGAAAGAGCTGCACTTTGGACACGTGTTTATCCACCAGAGGATGATCCTGATGGAGTCGACTTGTATGTGATCCTGGAGTGCGAAATATGCCCTCTCTAGAATCAAGTCCATTGATCTATTTTTCTTTGTTCCTTGCTCAAGAAATTCTGAGCAAGATTGTTGCAGAAACTGGCAGATATGCAGAAAAACAAATGAGAGGAGAATGAGATCAGCATAGGAGTAGCAGGAACTCTGGCTGGGACACTTGCAAATTTGGTGTTCCTGCTTTGAAGAAGTATCTGGGTTTAACACTGCTCATGGGGCTTGTGAAGAAGAAGTACACAACAATGTATTGGAACACAAAATTTTCCTACCTTTCTACACCCTACTTTGGAACTGTCATGTCCAGAAATAATTTTCAGTTGATCTCAAAGTACTTCCATTGCTTTGACAGTACAAGACCAGAAGCGAAAAAAAGACAATGCTCTTTACGACCCATTACCCAGGTTCAGGTTAGTTCTTGATGCACTTAACTGTTCATGTCAGAAACACTATATTCCAAAGCAATTGATATCCATCGATGAAAGTCTGATAGGATTGAAAAAACAGAATTGAATTGATATAGTACATACCAAATAAGCATCACCACAACTGGGGAGTGAAACTTTATGCTGTAAACAAATCTTCTTTGGGGTATCCCCTGCATACAATGGTCTACTGCAGAAAGAAGTGCCGCCAGCCTGCCTCTCAGTTTGGCCATTCTTGTGATGTTGTTAGAGAGCTGATGTTAGAGGTCAGATTGTTCAACGAAGGTTATCATCTTTATGTAGATAACTTCTATACAAACCCAACTTTGGCTGAATTTCTGTACACTTAGAAGACTTTTCTAACGGGCGCACTGAGGGCAAACAGAAAAGGTGTCCCTGTGATGATGAAGTCAGCCAAACCCAAAGTGGGGGAATGTTTTTATGCAAGAAAAGGCCCCTTGCTTGCATTATCGTGGAAAGAAAAGACGTCACAGAAAAAGCCCTGTCTCATGCTAACTACAGGGAGTGGTGCTCAGATGATCAACCACACCCGTTGTAGTGGTCAGATAAAAGAGTTGCCAAAAGCAGTCTCCCTTTAAAATAAGAACGTGGGAGAGGTAGACCTCCCAGATCAAATGGTGGATCATGTTGCTTGAGAGCGGCCATTTCATAAATTTTGGAAAAAGTGCTTTTTTTTATCATTGACAGAATGGCATTTTGTTCATATATATTGTATGAGAAAAACACCTCAGCCCAATGGAAGCTCACATGTTTCAAGTTTGTGTACTTTGGTGGAGGAATTGTGTGCTTCACCTGAAGACCAACCAATGGCAATCCCAATCTCAGTGAGACAACCAAACCTTGTTCATAGAGCTGTCCTCCTCCCTGCAATTAAAAAGAGAAGGACTGTCAGGGGTTTCATTAAGGGCCGTGCACAAGCCAAATGGACTGGTTGTAAGGACAGTTTTGCCCACCTGGTTTAACAATCTGGAGGAAGGTTTATCTTATAAAGAAGTTTAGTTCAAAAAGTTTTGCCCACCTGTGAAAACCAGTTGCCCTCCTGCTGAAAAAATTAATGAAACCCCTGGACTGTGTTGTTTGTTCTGACCGCCCGACCCCTGGCGGAAGAAAGAGAAGCCATACTCAATGTGAAGGTTGTGGCATTGGGGTACACCTGAAATGTTTTGATCAGCGTGACCATACTACAAAAAAAGAGAAAATAAACAGACAACTACTTTTGAAACTCATTTTTAATGAAATGATTTGAATATATCAACAAAGTTGAAATGGTAAATTGGCCACGGTTACAATTATAAAAGCTGAAGTTTCGAGTGTTAGCCCTTCGTCGGAGCAAATAGGGGAATTGTAGGTTGTGTGTGCTTTTAAAGGCAGAAAAAGGAGCTACGTGATTGGTGGGAACATGGCAACGAGAAAAACACGAGTAAATTAGTGGAATGAAAAGCGTTTGCTGATACCTGTGGGATTTAGACTGCTGGTTTGAAAGATGAGCTTTTGTTCAAGAGTTTTCCGGCTTTCCATGCTACCTAAGTGTAAGGAAAGACTGCAGATATCAATGTGTTCATTATGATGGTTAGGTAAATTAAAATGTCTAGCCATTGGTTTCGATGTGTCCTTGTCATTCCTCTCCACTTCATGAAGGTGTTCTCGGAATCGGTCACCTAGTCTTCTGCCTGTTTCGCCGATGTAAATCTTTTTGCAATAAGTGCTAGTTATGCAATTAGATTGTTTATATATCCAAATTATTTCGTTACCCCCACCGATGCAGCCCCAAACAGTTTTTTTAGAAACTATCAGCCTTTATTCAATTTTTAATGGGCTGTCATAATGAACTACTTTTCACTATTATTTGTCAAAGTTATAGTGTGATCCCCTTGATCAGTGTATGTCATGAGCCACTTCATTGCCTAGTCCTTTCGGTCTGTATTTGGAAAAAGAGGGCTAGTATCATGCAGTGAACTTTATTTAAAACTTTCCAGTTTAAGCTGCAGTTAGAAAATGTATGGTGTACAAACCATGTTGATATTTAGGATCAAAAGATAGACATTCTGTTTACGCAGTTAATTTGCATGTTCCCCCCTTCCATTGTTCACGCAATAAAACAACATTGTTTTTACAATATTGTAATTTTAAGATATTTTCTACTGTTCCCAACCTCTTCTATTTGAAGAACTTTTAGATGAGGCATAGTTTAGTTTTGTAGCCTCAACTCCAGTAGCTCACAAAAGGGGCACAAATTTTTGTTTTATCTTATACAAATGTCATTGTTGTTGCTATGCAACTAGGTTACCATGGAAATTGTATGTTTATTGATATTTTATCTCGTAAACCGACAGGAAATTTGCTGACAATTAAATTGATACCTTGTTTGTTAAAATTGGTTGACTGGATGCCGAGTTATAACATTTTTCTTCCATGCATAACACATAGCCTATTTAAGCGAGGCAAATAATAATAATAATACTTTATTTACCCACATAACACCTAAGAGCTAATAGCTCGTTTAAAACGTGAACATGAAACTAACTACAAATAATGAGCTAATAAGAACTAATATTAAAAGATAAAAGTATTGAAAAGCTATATTTTATCTAATTTATAATTACTAAGCGAAAGTTCATTAAAACTTGAGTTAAAGCCTCGCATAAATGAATGCAATGCGCAGCTAAAAGCGGCCAAGTCCAGACATTCCCTGACTCTAGTTGGCAAACCATTCCAAAGCTTAGTAGTTAAATATGACCATGACTTATGCATGTATTCTAAGTTGAATGATGGCAGCATAAGGTGTGTGCCAGACCCCCTTAGGTTGTAATTCACATTTAAAACGTTATTAAGATATTCCGGTCCCTGTCCTCTTAAACATTTATATAAAATAACTAATGACTGGATTTGCCCCCATGGAAATAGGGCATATCTAGGGTTAAAAAAAAAAAAAAAAAAGAACCCTGTGAACAGGCAATAGGTGGTAGTGTTGATCTTAAATAGTTGCTTGGAGCCTGTTATAGTTATAAAGATGATGATCTAATGATCTCCATTTTTCAGAGAACTTCCGTGCATTGTGTACTGGAGAGAAAGGGTTTGGCTTTCAGGGAAGTAAATTCCATCGTATTATTCCAGGATTCATGTGCCAGGTTAGTTTTTCCTTGAGATAACAAATTTTATTTTCTGTGTTAATTCCAGAGCTCAGCTTTAACAAATCTAGCTGAACCCCCAACACACTAACACCAGTGTACATATTCTCCATACTGTTCTCCATTTCTTTTCTAAGATGCCAACAGGGAGAATTTGTTTAGCAATCAAGAGCTGTTTTAGTTAGTGATCATTTCCTTCATTCTCCTGACCTTTACATTTGATGCAGGGGTGATATTGTAAGGAGAAATCAGATGCTAGTCACTCTTAGAGGTCAAAGGGGATCTCATGCTGTCAAAAATCACTGTGGAGTCTCCTAAAGCATAAAAACTGTAGCTCCATATTCACAGTGTATTTCTTTTTGTCATTTTTTCCTTAACCTTCAAAGGGTGGAGATTTCACCAGAGGAAATGGAACTGGTGGCAAGTCCATTTACGGTGAAAAATTTGCAGATGAAAATTTTGCACTGAAACACACTGGTGCAGGTTAGTTATGGTGTGGCCTTGTGAAGGTAATTTTTTGATGATTGTTTATATTTGTTGAGAAAGTTACTGCTTTGGCCATTGCTACATTCAACTACCTCCCACAGGCATTCTTTAACTGACCACTTCATTGAAGCAGATACTTGGTAGAATACAACTTTTTTTTTTTCTCTTTTTCCCTGTATTAATCATTCAGAGGGAGAAAACAAAGGTAGATTTATTTGTTGCAAGAATGGGGCAGATTGAAATTATCATTGATTATTCATAACTGTTTGTAACCAAAGCACTAAGTACCACCTAATTACCTTTGGAAACTTTAGTCAGTTAAATGTTTTATTCTCAAGATGTTTACCTGACAGCCAAATTTGAGGATGCAAATATTTTAGATACTCTTTTACTTCAGGAATACATATAAGAAAAACATAAATGAATTACTTAAAGTAGTCCATTCTGGAAGCTTAGAAAGCATTCATGTTCTCAGCAGGAGCCCTTAGTACTAAAACTAAACTTCAAGTCTTGCTCTCATTTTTAACCCTATTTATTTATCCTTGAGGTTCAAACTTGCGTAAAGACAAGTAAATTAAGTTTCTTCATGGAATCCATGCATTAAGTCTGTTCATTTGAAGCATTTGTTTAGAAACTCAACTGAACATTTGGTAATCAAACAATACCACAAGTTTATATTTTATCCTTCTTCTTTTCACCTGGTCTATTATAGGGCAATATGTCTGTACCAATCTCTGAGCATATTATGGCTAATCAGTTCTGTCAGGTTATGTTTCAAACCCTGTTGCTTTGTAGTTGATAGTTGATCTGTATTTAAGCTAAGCCTCCATTCATCTTTACTGTGCTTCTCTTTGTTTTAGGAACTCTCTCCATGGCAAATGCTGGTCCAAACACAAATGGATCTCAGTTCTTCATTTGCACTGCAGTAACCTCACACTTGGATGGGAAGCATGTGGTGTTTGGAAGTGTGGTGGAGGGAATGGATGTCGTAAGGAAAATGGAGAGTGTTGGTTCCCGTTCGGGTCAAACTAGTAAACCAGTGGTCATTAACAGTTGTGGTCAGCTGTGATGCAAATTCTCTACTTTGCACTAGAACTGTGAAACTGTAGTTTGTTAGAAATAAACTCTTGTGTTCATTTGTAGTTTGGGATTGTTTCTTTGTGATGTCACAATCTTTAACCAGGCTGGCCCAGTTCAGCTGCAAGCTGGTTTGATTGGAGGCCTTGCATTGTGTTTTTCTCTTTAGTTTCAGAAGTGAGGTCAATTGGACTGGTAATTGGGAGGGCAGAGGGTGAGGCATGAGGCGGGGCTGAATAATGAAATGCTACATCAGAGGGTATGCAGTCATCAATGTGGGCTCAAATGTTCTAGGTCTAAAATTAGCAGAAAATAAGGGCTGACATTTAAAACCAAGGAACTTTGTTTTCGCCAAAGGCATTTTCTTATTTCCAGAGGTTTTAATGCGAATATTAATTTGTGAAAATTTTTAGGGGGTGTACCAAGTTTTTGGAGGTTCTGTAAAAGAGTGGCAAGGAAACAACGCCTCTAAGAAACAATAGGAAATCAACCCTGCAAACTAATCAAAATCCATTTTCTGTGGCAAAACCTAGTGCATGCACATACATTATTCAGCTCTGTCGAAGCATGATGGCTAAGTCCCAAAAAAAAAGTTGTTCTGGTGATGAAGTTGACCATGAAACAAACTTCAAGGGTACATGCTTTGATCATACCATATTCAGGACAAATATATTACAGTTATGGTGGAATTTATCCATGAAACAATTGTTGCACAAAAAGAATGAGACTCGTGGGATAATTTGGTGTTATCAAACAAGTGGATAATGTAAATTGCTTAGGGTTAGGGTGAAATTTACAATGGTAAAGAGTTTGTAAAGCTGATAGTTCAAGTGTTTTAAGGTAAAACCTGTGGGAGCCACCTTATGTGGGTGTGAGGTGGGGAGCAATACTCTCGGCCATGAATTACAAAGCAATAGAAAATGTGGCAAAGCCATGTACGATTTTGAGAGAACCCGAGGAAAGCTTACAAATCACTTGCCGTCAGCTCATGATTTATAAGCTGTCCTCTTGTTTTCCGAACATCCAAGTAGCTTTTTCACGTTATAGAACCTGGAAAAAATGCATTTTATTGCTTTTAAGACATGACTAGTTACATGTGGGCGCTACAACCTGATGAAGCATCTGCTTGGAAACTAAATTGACCAATCAGTGGATGTGTACTATTGTTCATTATGTTATAAACAGAGATGGACTCTGCCCGGATGGACCAGTTGGCTGAAGTGCATACTTTGCCCCTACCTTAAAGATCTCAACACTTCAAAACTATGAGCCACAAAGTCCATATAGACACATAGTTATTTATCAATTTACTTTCAGTTTGATTCATTTAAAAGTACTCTGGATAAAACTTCAAAACAAGAAAAAAACTGGCAATGAAAAGATTTGATGTTTCAACATTTTCCTGGCTGCAAAAGAATCAGAGGCTGAAATATTATCACCATGCAAGAGAAAAAAGGTTGGCAAATACAGAGCATTACTGTTAAAACTGAAGTTAGTTCCCATTGAGCTTCATTTTGTTGGATAGGAATCAAATTCTACTTTTTCAGGACTCATTCTTGGCATTTACACTTGCTGATAATAAAAACATAGGTTTCAAAAAGTCCGCATTCAAGGCTTATATCAATTATTAATTTTCTTTGAAGTATTTACAAAGTAATACTTGGAGCATAAGTCATAGTCTTGGCCAGAACTTTGAAATTATTTACACAAGTAAAGATGGTCTGTACATCCATGATCTCAAGGTCACATTTTTCACATTTCACTTTCAGAGTCCTTTTTCTCTTGCTCTCCAAATTGTAGTGAGAGCCCATGTGATAGATATCAATGTTATTGTGGGTTGGCTTGCTACCTTATTCTCGGAGAACACTTACTTTTGGATTTCATTTGTGATTCTTTTCAGCTGTTGCACATTCCTTCTAGATAAATTCAGAGAATTTTGCCTTAAATCAAAGTACCAGTAACACCATCCAGCTTATACATTTTCTTTCTCATCAACCGTCTGTTAGAGAATACATTGTGACGAGAACAAACATTTTTATCACATCATAAATCAATGAGTTATTAGGTTAGGAAATTGTTCTAAAAGCTTGGTGAACGCCACCATTGAGGAGTTAGATAGCCATCAGGAACTGGAATCTTTTGATCTTTAATACATGCTTCCAAAAACACTTTTAGTCTCACCACGGGCCCACTCTGTGCCTTGGCTGTTACTTTTTCTATTTTGGGCACATATTCCAACACAAGTGTATTGAGCAATTTTCCAAACTGTTTTTTGTACTGCCTCATCAGAGTATGTCCTGCTACAGCCAGGAATTCATAGAGAGCTGTAGCAGTGTAATCAGGCCTTGGGTCAAGGTTCAGCATTCTTGCCAACCACGTCCAACCTTTTTCAAGACCAAAAGGGTGTTGTTGTGATTTTCCTTGAGGAGGTAGAGATGAGATAACAGCTGCATATAGTCGCACAATGCCAGTCATGCGCTTTAGAAACTTACCTTGTTCTTCAATCTCACCCTCAGAACACAGATAACCAAGTGATGCAAAGTATTCTGAATCAGTCAGTTCAGCTGTCCTTGGAATGTAAAATGGCACTAGGAATGGGCACTGGTCATAGAACTGCGCCAGAATGAGATCACCGATGTCAGGGAAACTGGACCAGATCCCCACAATCACAGCAGCAATAGGAAATGCAGAACTATGACTGGAAGACACCTGCTGTGATCCCTGCTGCACAAGTTTCTTTGCCAGGAGATCTTTACAAAAAGGCTGCAATTGAAGTTTAAAATATTGCAAACAGCTTAATTTATGAGCCAGTACAAGAAAACCTCTATTATCTGGACCTCACTTATCCAGATTGTTCTATCACCCGGACTCATTTCTCTGGTTCCATTTTCACAAATATTAATTTGTCACATTCTAGTTCAGCAAAAGTTTTTCCCCATCAAACAAATCAGATGATGAAACAATTTGAAGATATTCCTTTAATGCAGCTTCTGAATGATGCCAGCAGTTTTGGTTGTAAAACATTGTTTTTGTAAATACTCGTAGCAAAATTTTAGCAATGATTCACAGGGATTGAGAATGTCCTTTAATTCTTGTGTAATATTGATTAGATGATCCAGTTTAATTTTTAGTTTACTAATATTCATATTTCAATAACCTGGACTCTTGATTATCTGGACTACACAGAGTAGTCCACTTAAGGTAATTTGGGTTTTATCAACTGAGTTAATAATGTAATTTGCCAATGTAAAGAGTTTCAAAGCTGACATTTCGAGCATTAGCCTTTTGCTCTGAGAAAGAGCTAATGCCTAAAAAAAGTAGCAAATTTCTACTTTTAGTATCACTGCTGACTCAAACATGAAGGTCATGCAAATAAATTAAATTATTACCAATTACTATGTACAATGTAAAGGAGCTCTTGATTCTTGACAAATTCTCCTTGTTAGTAGCATAGGAATGTATGGGCAGATTCATGCTGACGTCATTGTTTACATTTTTGCTCATTTGCATACAGCTTTGCATAAAGAAGGAAGCATGTTAGATACAAATTGACTTCAGGAAGCTAAAGAGCTAGAAAACCTTAGTACATGGTGAAATTTTTAGCTCTTTGGGTGTAATATTCAAGGAGAAATAGTCCATCAAGAACTGCAAAATTTCTGGGTGGCAAAAGCGCTAATGAGTTCATACATTCTATGTAAAATTCTGAGTTTTTAAAACCCGTGTTGCACAAAAAGTATTCAATGCATCAGGCTCGTATTCCTTGGCCAAGTTAATCGTACTTTGACCTTTCGATATTCAGAACTGATTTATTTTTAGCTCCATCAGAAACTGAATTGCTTATGGTAATGAGGCAAATATTGTAAACAAGGATTCCCCCATAGAGAACAGTAGGGAGAATATGCAAACTGATCGTAGAGTGAAAAGAGTTAAACAAGATGATTTACCTTAGCTGCAGGATGCTTAGCAATTGAGATCTGTTTTCCACTCATCTGCACTGATTGTCCAGACAACAATTTAGCCAGGCGCTGAATCTTATCAAGCAGATGGCTGGGTGACTGGTCAGATATGGCATTGATAGGTGTTGTGACAGCCCTGTGAAGGTCAAATTTATATTGTTTCAATGTCTTGTCAGTATTCAATGGCTCTGCATGTTTTATGATATCACTTCTGTAACTTGCTAGTCTGGAAAATTCTTTCCATGCTGATGCTGAAATACTGGAAGCAAGGTCTTTTGAGATCCCTGACTTTGATTGATCATTAGAAGTGGAAGTTGGTGTCGATGTTGTGGAATTAACCCTTTGTTTTTCTTGCAAAGTTTTCAGTGCCTGTTGTTTTTTTGCCTTTTCTTCTTTGGCTTTTGCCTCTTCCTTGAGTTGTAGCTCAGCCTCATCCTTTGCAGCCTTGGTATTTGCCTCATTAACAACATTTTTTGCTTTCTGTAGCAAGCTACAAATCAGGGTAGAACAGTCCTGCATAATCTTTGTAATTCCTTCTGTCACTCTCCCATTTTCATTCGCACTATTAAGATTATTCTGGGAGACTTTCAACACCTTATCTGTTTCACTGACAATGTCTGAGGCAGAGGTAGACAAATATGATTGAAATTTGCATTTTTGCAAGGTTTTTTTGATATTCTCTGCAGTTTCTTTCACAGTCATGCATGAGGCCTCAAGTTCTTGTAGTTCTCTCTTAACTTGCTGTTCCTCTTTTAATAATCTTAATCTTAAATCTTCCATTTCTTTAATTTTTCTAACAGCTCTCTCTGCGGATGCTTCATGAAACTGTTTAAGTTCCTGTTGTCGCTGTTTGGCTTCTTCAGTTTTTCTCTCCTCGTCTCGCTGTAATTCCTGTACAGATTTAATCATTTCGTCCATCCTCTCACGCTCCTTTTCCTGCAAGTAATGATTTTTCTCCTCCAACAATTTCTTTGAATTTTCTAGCAGCTTGTGTTTTCTCGAGGTTATCCTCTCTTCGGCTTGGCGTTTCTTTTCCATTTCGTAATCGTGAACAGCGACATGCGTACCATCGAAGTTTGCTTGAAGTTCTATCTCCAGCAATTCCTCACGTTCATGTACATTTGATCGTAAGGCACGTGTTTCTTTTTCCAAATCGCTATTCGTGTCCGATTGATAGCTGGTAGAGGACATATCATCAGTTTGGTCTGATTCCTCTCTATGTCGAAAATCTGCCACTTCGCCACCTAAGAGTCCATCACCGTCTCTTTTGCTACTTGTACATATGGTAGAAGATGGCGAAACGAGGGTCAGGTTAGGAGACAATGCAGGAGGCTTTGACAATTCCTCCAAGTTTTCCCTTGTCGGCTTCCAATGAGGTACATAAGTTAAACGACCCTTTGAAGAAGATTCTAAACCCCTTAAGACGCTAAACGATACCACGGTTGAATTATTGGGTGAGGGGGAAAGCATATTCTTCCTGACTGATAATAATGTTCCAAGCGACGCCGCCATTTTGATTTGCTACCCTTCCGACCTGGTTACCTAGCTTTTCAATTGAGACACCAACGTTTCCTTGCGTTCCTCGTTACGAGGAAGCAACATCTGAAAGCTCTGTTTGTTTTTCTTAGAAGCAATGGTGATTTTTACCACAAGCATAGACTCGAAACTCTATCTTGATATTCTTTTGCTTTTTTTTTATGGAATTGTGAAATAGTCTGTCGAAGTTTAAGAGCGTTGTATACATGTTTAAGTTTTTCGTTGATCATGGATCGAATTGGTTGCTAAGGCATATGTCATTAGCCACCTGGGTAACCTCAACCAATAACGACAACGGTAACCAGCGTCATTTACAAATTTAATTAATGTACGTTGCACATACCTCGACATTTCTTCGTTGCGATTGTAAACTTATAAATAACACTGTTTTTAAATCAGTTGCATAATGGAAAACTACATCAGATGTATGTGCGTGAACCAGAGGTGACAGACCATCCACATTCGAACGAATAGCGCCTTCCGATATTCGTTGTTTGTTTCTTGTACACGATCCTACTCGATGTCAAGTATAGCTAGCTGAACTGAATATCAGATAATTAATACTATTTCCACGATGCCTTTCAAAGTTCGCTGGAAACTGGAGAGGAAAATTTTGCACTTCTATATTATACTTATTTGGAACCTTTCTTCAACATGTGGCCAAGGCTATTTTCCGAAATTAGAGGATCTTGCAGTACTAAAACCAATAACTTCTTCTTCAACTTGTGGAGCAACATCTAGCAAATATTGCCAGTCGTTGACTCGGCAAGCGTCTTTGACAACTTGTGTCGAAAAAAACTGTGAATTTGCTTGTTGTACCAATTGTGGTTCAGCCAAACCTGTTCCTACAGATTTAGCTTTCACCTCGAATAAAGTTAGAGTTACTCAAGATGGCGATCCAAGGAATGGAACTATTGTCAGATCATTCCGATTTCAAGGTGATTCATATATACAACCTTTGCGGGTTCCTTTTATAAACTTTCAGAACCCTGGGTTCACCATCAGTGTTTGGATTAAACAGAAGGGAGGAAACAAAGGGTAAGTTTATGTTACTATCATGTTAGATTTGTTGATCCGGCTGCGAGGTATTTGAATTGACTGAACGGTACAAGTTAAGTATAGAGTCGTTTTAACATTAATTGTAGTTCATCGTAAACCCGCTTTCATCGAGCTCGATGCAACTCTATGCGATTAATTTCGGCGATCAATCAAACGATTTTTAGGGGTACATAAAATTAATTAGTTCAATACGACCTTTAGCGGACGTTGGAAATCAATCACGTACATGTAATCGGTGAGTGTAATTTAATTGATATTTACTTGATATCAAACGTAAGTTAATTTTAATCAGAGTTCGTTTGTATTATTGTCCTTCGATTTTGAAACATCATCAGATTTGAGAAGAAATGAGAAAAATGATTCGAATAAGGGAATTGTAATTGGAAAAGAAAATTGAAATAATAGAAATCGATTTTTCCTTTCCGCCATTAGTATACAGATTATCCGTATATTGGATTTGCTGTCTTTCATCATGCAAATTGGAGCTTGATTGTTTCCCATATTCTGAGTAACTTTGTGTGGTAGTTTTGCAGGTTCGGCAATTTATTCATGGTGATTTTGTGGTTTGTTATATTTTAATTACATATTCTTCAAATACTTTGGAGATCCTTTAGTGTTTAAAGAAAAATCATAAGTCTGATCTTGCCAAAAATTTACTATTTTACTTCTAATTATTCTACGTTTAAATATTTGGAAGGATTTTTGACATTGTATAAAAGTCATGTCAATGTATGTAAAATTGCAATTTTTAGGAAACACTTTCAATTTATGAATTTTTTTACTCTCAACAGCACAATTATTTCTAAAGATGAGACCACTCCTCCAGATTTTGCCAATGTCTTTCAACTTGTTATTCAGGACTATAACCTGATGTTTTACTATCGACCTGCTACTGGAAATGCTTCTGTTGCTACATACAACCTTCTGCAGAGCCAAAGCGAAAAGCTTCAACCGGATGAGTGGCATTTAATAACAGTAGCTGTTATTAATAAAGCACTGTCATATTACATTGATGGTAAACTGATGAATGCAAATTTTGTGACTCTGAATGATTACATTCTTGACTCTGGAGGTGGTATTCGAATTGGACAGAAATATGGAGGTATGTACATGACCGGCCTCTTTGAATTACAATTGACTGTCAAACCTCTGCCATGGATCACATGATAGAACTATCAATAATTCCCCACTTAAGCTTCTTTATGTGTCCTAATGAAAATTAATGGAGAGTTTAAGTATGTATGTGGTAATCAGTACTCGTTTTCTTATATCAAGAGTACTTCTTGGAGAAAGTAAAACGTAACACTTGACCGAATCAAAATATGGCGTCCAATTTGAATTGCCATTGTTCTGGACTTACTAGCCTCTCACACATGTGATAATCCTTTTGAGTTTCCACGTCAAGACGAGGCTAGTAAGTCCAAAACATTGGTAATTCAAATTGGATGCCATATTTCAATTTGGTCAATAAATGTTACAATGTAATACAATACATAGTAATTGTTGAGAGAACATTGTGTAGGTGTATTGAATAGACTAATTATACTTGCTTTTTTTTTTTCCTTTTTGTTTTAAGTAGAAAGTAGCAAAATATTGGGACTACTTGAATTCTTGCATATCTGGTAATCCCTGTCCTAAAGGTTTACCCAGAGAGATTTCTAAAGGAAAAAGGGATATTTGTTGAGATTTGTAGCAGACAAACTTGTTTTTGGCTAGAGGGGAGTGGGAGATGAGAGCACTTCAGCATATTCTTGCACTCAGATATTACTTGAGATTTAATTGGATCAGATAAATCTTGGCCATCTTAATGTAACTTGGACGTGTGGAACTGTCAGAGAAAAGAAAGTACATAGAGTGTCTGTAAGTCTTTTAAGAGATTTGATTAAGGGACTTCATCACATCCTTTGGTATCTTTTTTTAGTCCTGAGGGATGAGTTTTAATTTTTACAAATTTCTTGCCTACATTACACCTATCTGATAAGGTTTAAATGTAGGGTAAACAACACACAACCTTGTAGATGATGTACACACAATTATATTAATACAAAGATGAATCATTTAATTGTGGTTTACTCATTTTCTGTAACTTTTCTATTCTGTGTTTAGGTGATGCTGAGTGGCAGTATGAAGGCCTGATGCAGGATATCTTTATGTATGAAAGAGCTTTGACCAACAGGTACACACACATTTTAAACAGTTAACATGTGTTTGCTACTTAATGGAAGTAAAAGATTATTAGGAAGAAATCCTTGAACACTGAATAATCACTGTATATTTCCTGATTTTTTTCATCAGTACCCCTATGGTAACCAAGATTGGAAAAAGAACAACAATAACATGTAAAATATAATATACTTTTTTTCCCCTCAGGGAAGCAGAAGAAGCTTTCACAGGAGTCCTTCCAACAGTTTATGTTGCTAGTAATTGTCGATGTCCTCCTACACATCCAAAAATAAATGTTGCTGAACCAGCCAAGTGTCTGAAAAACTTAGATGGAGACACTGACACATTATCTCGACTCTCTGACACGACTCACCCAATTGAGTTTGCTACAGATGGTGACACACTCAGCTTCTGGCTGTCAGAGATCACAGAAAATGCAACCATTCGCATAAATTTGGCATATACAGGATTACAGGTGGGTTTTACAATTTTGAGTAATGTTAACTGTGAAGGAAAAAGAAGTTTTTCTTTGCAGTCAGAATTATTATAATGATAATATTATTGAGAAAAAACGATTCTTGGGGCAAGAGATGTCAGCAAATTGCATATTCTACTGGCTGTCTGCCATGTGTAAATGAGTTAGTCATTTAGCTATAAGTCCATGATTGTGCGGTAGATTCCCAAATAACTAGATGATTAGGGTGAATGTGTGAACTTGTGTCACTGGGTATTGGGCAAATTTTTCGGGAATGTTTTCTAAATGAAGTTTGTCGGGCCAATGTTCAAGTTTACCACATAAGACTCCATTGATAACCATTTGCATTTGTATTATTTTGTATTTAAGAATATTTATACAGGGTAGCCCAGTTTAGCAAATTGCTAGTTTAAATGGGGCCCTGTTAAACAATAACATCCACCCATCCCACCCCAGGGGAGGACATCCATCACACAGTAATCTCGTGCCTGAGAAATTAACGTCTCCTACCCCACGAGTTTTCAGTTTTAATCTCCACACATTATTTCTTAATCTGTGACTTTCTGTTTCTTCATGAGTTTTTCTCAAATTTAAACCAGTTTTATTACTCTCTTTTATTTGTTACAGAGCCACGTTTTAGCAATGTTAAATGCACATAGTCATTATAATAAGTGAAAAATAAACTGTTAAATACTTTAGGTGTTCTACATTGTCTTGACTTTCTATGGACCTGTGCCTGGAGCAATAAAGATTGAGCGATCAGTGGACAGCGGACACACTTATGAGCCATGGCAGTATTTTGCGGAGGATTGTGTAGCCTCATTTCATTTACAAAACAATGGTCCATTGACACAACCTGACTCTGTAAACTGTGTTCAATATGTGAAGTAAGTTGTTGTTTTTCATTAACAATAGCATAATTTTTTCAGGAAAAAATGAATATAGTTTCTGGTCTGTATTGATACATTACAGTTAAACTGAACTTGGAATTTTTTTGAAAAACTTTAGGAACAGGCATGGTTCAAATTGTTTCCTCATGGTTATGTTTGTTTTATTTTAGACCTTTGCTGCCCAGCCGAGAAGTTTTGACCTTTCAGACAGAATATCCACCACCTCCAGGCTCCAACATTCCAGTGTGACCATTTGGTTCTGGATGAAGTAATCTTTACTGCTCAGACAGACTGTTGCAGTTCTTAAAATCTACTCATGTGAAGTTTAATTTTTACAATCACACTCTGGTACAGAATCCTCAGCATCGATACTATGGCTTGGAACGAATTCTTGTCACTGGGAGGTTAGCAATTTAGAGTGGTTATTTTTGGGTAATCTTAAGTTGTAATTACTTCAGGGTACACTGGGGGAACATCCTTTCTCAGCAAAAGCACTGTCTGGAACTTCAGTCAGCTGCTTGGTGACAGATCCTAAAAATCTGTCGCTACCAATTTGAAACTTTTTTTTGACTTGAATAAGAGTATTGATCATTCTTGGAGCCAAAAAGTAGGCAGAGTTGATGGTGGGGTTTGGTGCCAAAGATTGAAAAGTAGTTCTACAAGAGAGAGTTAAAACTTGTGTTGATACATGTAGTTTTGTGCAGTGTTGAGGTAATTTGAATTCATATGTGCATTCACCAATTTTGATGTCCTGACCAGATATCTTACTTTGTAGATGTGAGTGTTTTGGTCATGCATCATCCTTCAGCTATATTGAAGGGAATTCTACGCACATTGGACGATGTGTTTGTGACTGTCATCCATCAACTAACACAGAAGGAGAAACTGTAAGAACTGTTTGATGAGCTGAAATATGTCTTTGCTTCATTGTAGTTATACAATGTATATAGATAAAGTACATTAAATTTTATTTCATGAAAGTTTTCATCAAATCAATTTTGTTTGAAAAATCCTGCACAATCACCCTTTCATTCACAGATCTTTTGAGTAATTTTCTTTATGTCTGCCATATACTGCTTGTAATTTTAGTTCTGAGAATTTAGATCTGATGGTTATCCTGCAATTGATATTTTTCCATATTCTCATCACTTGTCTGCTTGATATTCTATTGAAATTGTGAGGAGAAAGTATTTCTTGTCCACCCCTGAGAGTGAAATGATTAAAGCTGAACAAATTCCACCAATTGAAAGTCTGATGTTTCAGTTGCTGCTTAAATGCTACATGATCTGTCAGTTGATTAATTTAGGTTTTCTTTGTGAGGAAAAAACAAAGCTTTGTGATACTTACCATGACCTGACATAAAAGACCATTCTCTATGATCTCAGACGAAAATAAACAATCTGCCAATGTCTTTTAAACCTTGTATTGTAAGTAAATGATGTTATTTCAGGTCTGATTTTGGTTTTCTAATATAAATTACTTTTTTTTTCCATTTCAGTGCAATCGTTGCAAGTCTCTATACAATAACAAACCATTTAGAAGAGGTGATCATGATGACTCATACCCCTGTGTAAAGTGTGAGTGTAATGATCACACCAAAAGCTGTGTTTACAATCAAACTCTGGACACCAGCCCTAACTCACGTACCCAGGGCGGAGGGGGTGTGTGTATAAACTGTCAACACAACACTACGGGTCGTTTCTGTGATGTGTGCAAGGAAAGATTCTACAGGGAGTCTGGGAAGAGTCTAAAGTCACCAGATGTGTGTTCACCTTGTGGATGTGAGGGGCCTGGGGTGCAGCCTGGAGAATTGGATTGTGTTAAGGTCGGTAATGACAAGTTAGTATGTTGCTTAGGAGATGGAGGGTACGTGTACCAATTCACAAACACGAATCAAACAAGCTTTAACCAAGAAGATGGATGTCATAAATGGGAAAAGCTAGTCTGGCATAATGCATATCTTAAAAAGATCAGCTGAAAATGACAAATTTCTGGCCAAGCATTTTGAGTATGCTCATTTTACGAAACCTATTTATAGCATTAAATTTCTGAAGCACTTTGTCAAGGGTCAGCTATCTGCATGTAATTACAAGTATGGCTACGTACGTTGATCTAAATCGAAGGAGAAATTCATTGCAAATTCCCGGAGGAATGAAATGCTGAAAGTTCTAGGGAATAAATGTTAACCTAAGAGTTTATTATTTCTCAAAGCCTTGTAGTAGTATCTATTGTTTTATTCGTAAGTTTGAAAACATAAAAATAGGCACTTTGGCGTTAGCTATCCATGAAAAAAGAAACACCTTATGCAGTAGTTGGAGCGGTCAGAGCAATTTTTTTTTTCATTTAAAATGCTTCTTTCTATGTTCAAGTGTAAGCTCTTTGACTGTGTTGACAATTCGTTTCCAATTAAATTGTGTTTTTAAATGGATAGGATGATTCCAACTCAAGTGTAGTTGCTGGTCAGTGTGTTTGTAAAGACAAAACCCAAGGACGTCAATGTGATGAGTGTAAAGTTGGATTTTATGATCTCAAAGCCAGCCATGCAACTGGATGCATCTCATGTGACTGTGTTCTCGATGGCACCATAAACCGGAATTTTTCATGTCATGCAACATCAGGACAGTGTTACTGTAAAGACAGGGTGACAGGAAGAACGTGTGACACCTGTAAGGCAGGGTACTGGGGTCTGTCTGGGCATGAACCCTTAGGCTGTAAGACATGCGACTGTGATCCGTTTGGAACGACAGCTGGGAATGTAAACACTTGTAACTCAGTTACAGGGCAGTGCTCTTGCAAAGCTGGAGTGATTGGACGCAAATGCGATCAGTGTAAAGATGGTTTCCATAGCCTTACACCGAGTGGTTGTTCATCATGCAACTGCTCTGTTGCTGGAACACCGTCATCGTTTTTGGACAAGTGCGACAAAACTACTGGTAAATGTACCTGTAAGCTTAATGTGGAAGGCATTAACTGCGACCAGTGCAAGCAGGGATTCTATAATCTGTCACAAAGCAATCCACAGGGGTGTACACAGTGTACATGCGACACTAAAGGAACTGTAGGAGGGTCTGGTCAGTGTGAGCAGCAATCTGGAAACTGTACATGTAAGCCGTTGGTGATTGGGCAGACATGCAACCAATGTAAGCCGGGAACGTTTGGTCTCAACCAATCAGATCCTAATGGATGTCAAGCGTGTAACTGTTACCCCAAGGGAACCATAGATGGCGACAAAAAGAACCCAGGTACCATCAGTGTGCTTTGTAAGGTTCTATTATCACAAGTCAGAGCAATATGAGCTTAAATCTTTGCTGGTGAAGGGGATGTAAAATTAACAAAATAATTCTGTTTTGAAGCAGAAGTTCTACAGACTTGTTTAGGCGTAACGATTCCGATGTACAAAGGCTGTTGCCGGTCTTCTAGACTCTAGACTCTAGACTTTTTCTCAGAGCCGATCAAAATTGACAGTTTGTGGGAAACTAGTTCGAAAAATAGACCTTGTTTTTTGTTTTTGTTTTTTTTTTCCATTCAACCTATATTTACTCTTTTCTTTCGCTGTTTGCACTGTTGTGCCGACCCAAATTCTATCCGTTTGTGGAAGATGTTGAAGTGGGTGCCCTCTTATATGGAAAATCGTTTTTAAATTGATTTATCGCACGTTTTAAGGAAACCCTTCACAGTTATCGCTATCAGTTATCCTTCAAACAAATGCTATTCTTCTAGATATGTAACAATGTTTACCAATCAATTCTTGCCAGACCCAAACTACACCTCGTAGGAAACTTGTATGTGATATTCAACTTCGACTTACATATGTTCAATGTTCATTTACGTTCTCTCTTCGTCTTGCAGATGAACTCCAGTGTTCGAGCAATGGACAGTGCTTCTGTATGTCCAGTGTGTCTGGGCTACGCTGTGACTCCTGTGCAGCGGAATATTACTGGAATCCAGCGGGACAAGGCTGCGTCCAATGCCAGTGTAACCCGACTGGATCTGTTGGAAGAAACTGCAATGACACTGGCCAGTGTACCTGTAAGGCAAACATTGGTGGGCAGCGGTGTGATAGATGTGTAGATGGCTTTTATGGTTTTACAATAACAGGAAAGTGAGTAGAATATTTAGCTGCACGATGTTCGCTTTATACTCAGAATTTATTACCTTATATTCTAACTTTTATTCAAGATTAACATAATCGTCAAGGGATATCGAGAAATGCCGAAGACATCAGTGATGCTTAGCTGTACTTTCCTCGTGCGACCAGCAATGTTAGGTCTTTAGGAAGACTGTAGACTATAGTGACTAACTGTTAGTGCACGGTTTCTGTTAATATTACATTAATATTACATTATATTATTATATTAATGATTATTATATTATTATATTATGGATTATTTTTTTATCTTTTTAGCCTTGTTCTTGCTGTAACTTTTAAAATTAGTAATTAGGATCGGAGATTAAAATCCGAGGATAAATAAAGCTTATGTATGTATGTATGCATGCATGCATGCATGCATGCATGCATGCATGCATGCAGGGTCAGCTATGAAGAACAGGTTGCTTTGAGGTCGAGGCAAATGAACTGCCTCAGTGAAGTTGATAAGCTTATGTTTCGAACCTCCGAAAGGTGGAAGACTGTTGCTCACTAATCTCGCGATAATACTTGTACTTGTATATTGCTACTCTGAAGAAACTCCAATCATCGAGCGAAAGTAATGGAGCCTTATCATCCTTTCCAACTTAATGATATTCTGTTCTTTGTTCGCTCAGCTGTATTCCTTGTAACTGCAATGTGGCTGGTAGTCTTATCAATCAATGCGATGAAACTGGACAGTGTTCGTGCAAAGATAATGTCGAAGGAAAACAGTGCGACAAGTGTAAAAATGGAACCATAAATCTTCAACAGAACAACAAGTATGGCTGCAGCGGAGGTAACGGAAATTTCTGGCTATGATATGAGTGTTCTGAATTGTGTCGATATTAATCCGGGATAACTTTGGGTTTACTTTACTTCATATTAAGTCGTGTTTTCGTTTAATTTCAGCTCCATCTGAGCAGCCTGCACCGTTTGTAACAGTTCTATCTTCCCGTGTAATAATGTTAACATGGTCTCCGCCAGACAATCCTAACGGCGTCATCCTGCGCTACGAGTTGTACAGAAATGATACCCTGGCTTACACTGGACTGAACCGCACATTCAATGACAGTGATCTCACTCCTGACACCGTGTACTATTATTACATCATCGCTTACACTGAATCTGGTCAGACAAGAAGTTTAGACGACGGAAACGTGTATCGCACTTTCCAAGACGCGCCAGGTGGCATTTCTGCGCCCGTGATCACAGATATTCTGCCCAGGAATGCAACTGCTTCATGGCAGCCTCCCAGCATGCCAAACGGTCGCATTACCGAATATCGCCTGGTATCTACCAATAGCCGAAGTGCAGTTGAAGTTGTAGACTGTCAAGGGGTTATTTTCACGTGTAAGTTAGGGAATCTTAAACCATACACTGTCTACAACTTTTCAGTAGTGGCTTGTACCAATGGAGGATGCGGTCGGAGTAACGAGACAACCATCCTAACGCTACCAACACTTCCGGATTTTCAACCAGCACCAAATGTAACGTCTCTTCCGGGAGGCACAGCAGTGAGGGTGGAATGGGACGAGCCGTTCGAGCCGAACGGAAGAATTCTTCGTTATGAGCTGTACATGCGTGCAGACGGAGACACAAGCGACGGAGTCTTGAAGTTCAACAGCAATCCTGCGCATGACCCAACCACTACCAACTTTAGAGAGACAAACGTGACAGGACTGGTTCCGTTCACGGTTTATGAGTTCAGGGTGCGCACATTTACTGCGCAAGTCAAGGGAGACCGAGATAGTAATTGGACAAGGCATAGGACTGGGGAAGGAAGTAAGTTTTTTGAATGAGTAAACAAACGATATGGAATGCTATAAAAGAACTGAGGAACAACTGGCTTTGACTGATCAAACAAAACTCCGGTCGCTTATGAGACCGGTAGATCCATATTTTCGAGGAATATGAATAATAATAAGGATGAAAAGTTTTGTCTGGTCGTGAGCCAGGTGGCCTATATCTCTTGAGGTTGGTTATCAGATCCCATGGCTTAAAAACCCCATTAGTATCGCTTTCATCTTGGGTGGAATGTCATTAACTTTCTGAGCCAGTTCACTGATAATATTTCTTCCTCAGGTGCACAACTCAGCTGTGCGAACTGGCTACCCCCTGGGTGGGGCTCAGACCTCTCTCTCCGAACTTCAGCGTGCTAAACATCAGGCCACTGCGAGCACACCTTTTTTTATCATAGGAACAACTGACTTACTTTATACTTTCTGGCATACTATCTCTCTTGAGATGGTGTTACACGAAGAGTTTCATGCAATGATAGAAATTTAAGAACTGACATTTATTTGATGTAGCTCCTTTGGACGAAAACATCATGAATATAAGAGGTTTCGTAGCCCCCGAAAATGATGCAGGAAATGAAAACATGCTACGACGTTAAAAATATAAACACTGTTTTACTTTTCTATTTCAATTTAGCTCCACTCGGCGAAAATTTCATGAGCACTGGCGCTAATGCCTTTAACAGCAGTGCTGTTATAGTTTCCTGGAGTCCTCCCCAGACCCCCCAAGGTGTCATCACTCGCTACATCATTTACAAGTACCAGTCTCCCTCTAGCTCAGTTGCTGAGATGGCTGTAGAGGTGCCTGGGTCTGAGCGACAGGGCGTGATCGTCGGATTAGAGCCGTACACTCAATATAAATTCACAATAACAGCTTGTAACAGTTTTGCCTGCTCAGGGCATAGTCCACAGGCACTTGCGCGGACACTAGCGGCAGGTATGTAGTCCAGATTTAAAGTGTCATTGGTGATGGTGGTCAATTAGACCCTGGTGCACTGTAAAGAATACATCAGTACCTGCGACAGTAAAGGAGAATTAATACAGCTTCAGTCCTCAGTGTACTGGGTAGAGTAAAACAGAATGTGAAGTCAGAAACAGATTTCTCTAATCTTGGATACTTTTGAGGTCAAGGTTTACGTTTAAAAGACATTTTCTTCTTATTATTCGTTAATTATTCTACTCCTTTTCCAACTTATAATTTTTATGATGATCTTGTTACTAACAGTTTTTTAACTGATTTACTTTCGTACAGCTCCCGAGGAACAGGGATCTCCATCGGTCTTCTCAGTTGGTTCGTCCACAGTGTACCTGAGTTGGTCTCAACCACGGATCCCTAACGGTCCTTTACCGCCAAGTTATAACCTGAGCCGAGCTTACTCTGCCCTGCACTTCCCACCCCCTGTGGTGTCGGAAGGTGTGCATTTCCCAGGTCTTGGATTCTACAAGTTTCGTTCAGACTTTGTTCAAGCCGGTGCAAGAAATGACATCCAGTTCTGGTTTCGCACCCAGTATGCGTTAGGTCTACTTCTCTTCATAGCTTCAGATGGCTCACAGACTGACATGTTAGCAGTTCAATTGAAGAGTGGAAAGCCATGGTTGATATTCGATTGTCAAGATGGCCCTGCCGCCTTCACAATTAACCAGCCGGTTCGCTTCGACGATGGCGAGTGGCATTTGTTGAGGGTGTCACGTGTCAGCCGCCGGGGAACTCTTACAGTGGACGGTTACCAAGCCAGTCAGGACAGTCCAGGCGCCGCTACTGTGATATCAGCAAACACTGGAGTCTACATTGGGGGTCTTCCATCTTCGTTCACAATTCTTCGGCCGGACACAGGAAATTCTAAAATTGAAAAGATCAACTTTATTGGTTGTATACGTGAAGTCACCTCAGAGCAGGCTGCTTCAGTCTCAAAGCAGCTTGATTGGACTACTGCATTAGAAGCGGTCAGTGTTGAGCCTCAGCGATATGGATGTCCAGAGAGAGACAACAAAAGAGCTTTGTTTCTCAGGGGTGGTGGTTATGTCGCTATGGACCCAGAGGACATTCTCAGCACCAATATTTTCAGCTTTTCTTTAAAGTTCCGCACTCAGCTGTCATCAGGCATGCTTCTGTTTGCACACGGATCAACAACCACATTTTCTATTCAGTTTTCTGACAATCGTGTTGAAACAAGATACGCCACGTCCAGTGTGCGAGGCGATGTGACAGTTCAACCGCCGTCCGGTGAAATTTGTGATGGACGATGGCACAACATGACTTTAACTAATTTCAACAACAGATTAACGGTGATCCTCGATGGTAAAACTGAGGTTGGAACTGGAATCGTTAACCTTAACATACAATCCAGCATTTTCATCGGAGGGGTCCCTTGGGCCTCTTCGACCGAAACAATCGCCCGACAGGCTGGGTTGACTGTGGAGTCGTCATTTGGTGGTTGTATAATTGTTCAGTCTGCGGCGAAAGAAATCGATTACATAACGGCAGTTACTACCATGCATAACGCAGACCTTGATGGCTGCCGCCCTGAGTCCACGATAGCGATCAGCGGTCAACTAGGAAAATGTTTGCCCTCCAATAGTTCTGTGGTGTACTCTGGGAAGACAGAGAGATTTAATGACTCATCCGTTGACATTTTCACAGGTATGTTAACAGAATAAGAAAGGAAACTTTGTCTTTCTCGTTTAGGGCCAGTTACTGGTCAATAACGTTGTTATCATCCTGCAGGGAAATAGAAATGGAAGAAAATTCCACTCCCGTCGTACACGAGAAAGATCGAAACCTAACGAAAACTTAGTCGTCATTCGCGAAAAATAATGTACATTCTTTCTTGTTTTTATCAGATTACCTCTACCGTGTGGAAAGTTACCATCATGGAACTTCAGGTTCAGCTAAAAGCGAGTGGATCTCAACACGCAGTGGCCAGGGAGGTAAGCGGATAAATTCTTATTGGACATTTTCCAGGACAAAGACACTTTATTCGGCAAACCTTAGATATAGGGGGTACACTGTCCTGAATAAGAATCCCACCTATTAGGCAAGAGGTAACTTTGTTCTGAGTTACTTAGTGCTGCAGAAACTGGCTACCAGTACTTAAAAGATCAGTTTGAGAAAGACGAGAAATGGCTGATCAAACAAGAAAGAAGGATATATCTCTGTATTTTAACCTGTTAATAAAACTTTACCGTTGCAGTTAATGTAAAATCTCTGAAGTCTCCTAGTTATATCTAACGAAAGTGAACTGCTCATAATCTCAAGGTTACACTAATTGATTATCAGAGTGCGATTTAATCAATTGTTGTAAAACAAAAAGCAAATTAATAACAACAGCCTGTCAGAAGGAAGGAAAATTATCAGAAGAATGAGAATACAAATTAAAAACAAAAAAAAACTCCGAGAAAACACATGTAACCATTGGAACAAGGTTTGCATCTGATTGGTTAATCCTGTAATTCCCAAGAGTGACGAGGACAGAATTTCCCCTCACAAGATCATTACAATATCAGGCAGACAGGTTATGAGAGTAAAGAAAAAATATCAATGAGGGGATTACTAGCTGATTCAATAAACGGCAAAAATTTTAAGGCAGAGACTAAGAAGAACTACAAATGAGACCTAGGTGGTGCGAGTATTCTGGACCAATCGCAGAGCACAGTGAAGCGAAACCAGTGCAATCCAGGATTACCTTCGACTCTCAATTGAAAATTGCGATAATGTTACAGTTGATAACGAAAAATGATCTAGACAACACGATTTGATCAAAAATAAGACACAAACAGCAGTGATAAACATATTGAACTTGCACATTTTGATTATGACTTGACGTTTCGTATGTACTCAGTATACATTTTCAAAAGTTAGTAACCGTTGAAATTTAAAACACTGGAACCAAGATTAAGCAAAAAAACATAACAATAAACAGTAGCACTAGAGCACACGATTTGTTCATCCCGAGAGAGCTTTTAGTTTACTAACAGCTGTTTTCTGCTTTATTTTTACTATAGCCCCAAATGGTATCCAGGCTCCTATTCAGTTAACACCTCTACCCGGCGGTGAAACAGTGATTGTAAGCTGGGCACTACCAGAGCGGCCCAATGGAGTGATAACAGAGTATAGGATATTATCTTACCGTGTCAACCCCCCTGGGGCGCCAGCGGTTGAGACAGTCATCACAGATACAAGTGTACTTAACGTTACGATATCTGGTCTTCAACCCCATACCACTTATGAAATCAGAATTCAGGCCACCACAGTCGGGGGAAGTTCAGTGGGGCCTGGTAAAAACGTTACGACCGAAGAGTCAGGTATCCTATTTTGTTTATTTGTTTTGTTTTGTTTTTTACCGTTTGAGTTTGTTAAGTAATATTTTTATCTTCAAGGATACCTTTATTACTCATGTCAAGTAATTCCACGACATTATTCTGACTGACAGTCTTTGGCGAACGTTTTTCCTTCTCTCTCTACCAAAAATGTACAAATTTTATTTTGATCTTAGTCCCAGAGAATGTCCCAGGCCCTACCGCTGTCCGACGTCCAAGAGAGCTTGAGGTGCACTGGACCGAGCCGGGACGCCCTAATGGTGTCATCACCCAGTACAATCTGACCCTGGATGGACAATTGGTGTTCAGCGGAATAGAAAACAACTTCACAATACGGAACTTACAGGTCTATACAGAATACCTCCTGAAGCTAACAGCTTGCACGAGGATCGGCTGCGCTCAAGGACCGGAAGTCAGATTAAGAACCGGAGAGTTACCCCCGGAGGGAGTCCATACCCCAGTGGTTTTTGTACGAGGAAGAACCACGGTTGAAGTCAGATGGCAGGCTCCAAATGTAACAAATGGGGTAATTGTACGTTATGAAATACTATTCGCAACCAGTAACGTTTTAAACGCGTACGTTTCGAAATTTAACGCCACCCCTGATGTGTTCAGCACAGTTATTACAAATCTTACGGCAGGGACATTGTATTACGTTCGAGTGCGCCCCTTCAGTGGAGGTGGCGGGACATTTAGTGCTGCGGCCCAGGTAACGACACACGAGGATATTCCTGATGATATCCCAGCACCTGACGTCATTGCTCTCAGTCCATATGCTCTATTCGTGATCATGTTGCCGCCGGAAAAACCAAACGGTGTAATTTTAAACTATGAACTGTACCAAGATGGGGTTCCAGAGCCTGTGTTGAATGAATCACAGCTTACGAATTACACAGCGGATCGATTGAAACCTTACAGCCGCCATACTTTCCGCGTTCGAGCTTGCACTGCGCAAGGCTGTGCTTATGGAGCAGAAGCTGTGGCTTTTACGAAAGAAGTTGCACCGAATGGAAATGTTACTCTGACTGCACGCGTCCGCAATGCTACAGCGGTTGATGCTAACTGGACACGCGTGGCTTTGCCAAACGGAAAGTTGTTTTACAACTTAATGGTGTACGGAAAATTTGTTATCCTCGACTCGGTTGACTTGAGAACTGAGAATCGTATTGAAACTGCTATTTCTGTTGAGGAAGCTGAAAAGCTGTTCACATACAATGGCCTTCTTCCATTCAGTGATTACAGACTCTGGGTGAATGCGTCGAATTCTGTTGGGTTTATTCTCAGTAACAATGTAACAGTGTCCACCCCTGAGGGAGGTAAGTGACCATTTTGTCAAGATAAGTATTAGTTGGTAGATAAACTTTGAAAAATTTGGGTCTTGAAGTCTTGAAGTCTTGAAAAAAATGCAAAAATGTTTTGAGAAAATAGAAAGATCGATGCAAGGAAAAATCGATTTAAACAGTAATTTAGACAATTCGACTTCCAACACTTTTACCAAAATTGTTGAGCATATTTGAAAGTTGACGATGATCCTCGATCGCCGAGTTCTTTAACACTTTAGGGCTTGGGCGTGGTCTTGGCTTCACACTGAAGCAACGATACTGAAAAGAAGTATTATACAGTGTATTTTACAGAACCTTAATAGACATGTTAACAAGAGTGGTTGCTTTGTTTTTATTTACTTTGATCCTAGTTCCCGACGGCGTGAAAGCCCCCAATGTCACAGTGTTGAATTCGACTGCCGTCCATGTCACTTGGGGACAGCCTGCATTGCCTAACGGGATCGTTCTTGCCTATGGACTTCATCAAAGGACTAAAGGTGTTGAAACACTTCTGTTCAGTGGAATGGGTTTTACCTTTACTGTCATTGGTCTTATCCCGTTTACGGTCTACGAATTCCGTGTGAATGCCACTACTGTAGCGGGGTCTGGTTTCAGCGAATGGACTCGAGTCAAGACCTCTGAAGATGGTAAGTCCCAGGTCTTTAGACCCACGTGTTTGTGTTGCTCTCTTTAAGACGTTTGTAAAGACAATAAAAAGGAAAGAATAGCCATAGTTATTCACCAGTAAAGAAGTCGTCTTAAATATTTGAAAAATGGCGATTATCAAGGACAGTGTGAAGTCGTTGCTTGTTCGAGGTTTTTTTTTTGTTTTTTATACCGTTTTTAGGGAAATTTTAACCTTTGATGTTGCTATTTTTTAACCCTCTTTCCATGCGAGTTTGCATCGTATGTCGCCTGCCTCTCGTAGGTTTGCCTTTTTGAAGTTACGCACTAATTCATGGTACTTGTAAAATAATTTTCAAGTTCTGCGATTTCCTTTCAAAAATGTGATGTACAGCACGTTTGTTGACTCTGTTCGTCGTTGTTCTGTCAGTTCCAAGGTCCCTGGATCCACCAGGTTTCAGAAATGTGACTTCCACATCTGTGACATTGGTCTGGGACGAGCCAGCTGAACCCAACGGAGTACTACTATATTACGTAATTTATCAAAATGGCAGTGAGATCAACAGAGTGATGGGAAACGTCACCAAATATGTAGTTACTGGTCTCCAGCCCTTCACTGTCTATGTTTTCAAGCTGAGTGTGTGTACAGCGGTAGGCTGCAGTAACAGCTCGGACTCAGTCCCCCAGAGAACTCTGGAGTCAGGTGAGTGCGTCGCTAAATGTTCCAGGTGTATTTTGATTCTTTTGTTGTTGTAGTTGTTTTATTTTGCAAGAATGTTTCTCCTATTTGACAAGTTACAGTAACAAAACCCGCCTTACAAGAAATCGCGTCACCCTTAAGGTTGTTAGTCTCTTTCTTCAATGTTAGAAATGTATGTGTAACCGAGGGTAACTAGATTTGTTCGGCAGTTAAAGATAAATGTCATAATATGTCAAAATGAAAGGAGTGATTGACAACCACATTTCTTAAACTAAACTCAATGTGGACTTGGTGACCTCTGTGGTCCTGCGCTTCAGGCAGTTTGCTCGGTTTCTTGTGATATTTCCCTTATCATTGTGATTTATCATAATGAATGCCCCGACTACAAGCGATTACAAGACTTAAACTAAGATTTGCTTCCTCCTCTTTTTGGGACGTCTTTACAGGTCCGCAAGGTTTGTCAGCTCCAAGACTGTCCTCTCCTTCAGGGAGAACTGTGATCATTGAATGGGACCCACCCTCTGTGCCTAATGGAGTCACTCTCAAATATACGATCCAGCGCCGAGTCGTGGGCGGTGGAAATCCAAGCAATGTCGCTGAAGTGAATGCTTCTCTTCCGCGTCGTTACGAGGATAATACAGCACAGCCAGTGACCGATTATCAGTACCGTGTGATAGCGTACAACAGTGGTCCAGGAGAACCCAGTCCTTATAGTAACATTACTACTGGCGAGGGAGGTATTGAAGCAAATGAAATTAAACACAAATGCTTGACACATATTCTAATTTAAATCTGAAATTGAGATTGTAGGGCTTTACCGTAGTGGACTATACAATGTGTCTGAAGTATTAAGACTCACAACTTTCTCAATTTTTGAAATCTCGCCAAACTTTAAGAATCGGTTCATGCTGATGAGAAAGACGAGTCTTTTTAGTGTGCTAGAGGGATCATGAATTATTGTGCTTTCTACCTTATTTGGCATTCACGCTACCAACTTAACATTTACACCTTTTCCCAGACCCTGAAGGTATCGCAGCTCCTACTGTCCAAGCACTTAGTCCTTACGCTGTACACGTGACTTGGAAAAAACCCAGCATTCCCAATGGTGTAGTCACGCAATACGTCATCAGAGTCGTGGACCAACAGCAGTCACGCAACACCACTGTGAATGCTAATGAACCGTTTGAGCTCAACGTGACCTCGCTCGACCCCTACATCATGTAGAACGTCTTTGTTAGCGCATGCACAATTGCTGCATGCGGTAGCAGCCCGCCGTCTCAAGTGCGCACGCTTCCCGCCAGACCTGAAATGCAGCCAGCGCCAACTGCAAAGACAGATTCGCAAACCTCTTTGAACGTTACATGGGAGCCCCCCCTCAGGCCAAACGGGGTCATTTTGTCTTACGTGCTGTACAGGAGAACCGTGGAGGACCTTGTGGAGAATAACATTACGGCACCAACAGATTATGTACAGGTGTATCACGGGAAGGCTCTGATCAGAGAGTATCGTGATACTGGACTTGGGATCTTCTCTTTACAACAGTACAAGGTAAACATAAAAACACCAAATCTAACAGCTACATTAGGACCCTATCAGGCTGGTTAAATACCAAGGTCTCGATCTGTTCATACTCAAACTCTTAATACCTGTCGTATTCATTTTTTGAATTGATCATTTGGTAGACTAGAAACAAAGTTTACTGCGAGCGCTAAGGGAAATTTCCATGTGGTGTCACTATCGTCTCTTACGATCTTGAACTAAGCTCAACAAAAATGGAGGGAAAACATCCACAATTTACGAAAGAAAGCGAATAATTTCGCATAATGCATAACGGCGGTTGAAAGATCAGAAAGCAAAGACATCATGTTCTCTACGCCCTTTCCAGGTCACTGTAAACACTGGTCAAGGCAGCACTACAAGTAACTCCTCCCTACCCTACAGAACCGGCCCGGTCCCTCCTCTGGCTGGGGCATTCGTCAATGGAACTGCCCTAAATCACACCTCAGTTCTGGTCACGTGGTATCCACCTGGTATTAAGCAGCTGCGCGGCTCTGTTGTGTCGTATATTTTGGACGTTGAAGAAAGATCAGTCGTGAGTCGTGTGGGCAGTTACCCCGGATCACAGACTAGTGTTACAGTCCAGAACCTGAAGGCCAACACTGTCTACAAATTTTATGTAAGACCTGCTTTTTTTTAATTGAACGTTGCTTTCAGACTGTCCTTATTAAACCACTACTACTATAAAATTGTAAATAACTGCTCGCTAAGAAAATCTTTCTGTTTTTCTCGTTCAGAATTTAGGTCGTGTTCCCCATCTATATTTGCTACGTTGTGGCAGAGGGAACACTTCGTCTTCTGATCTCAAAGTGCTAAAATAATTACGCCTTTTTGAACCAAGACATCAGAGCTATTTAAATATCAGTAAACTCTCTTAATGCGTAGAAACCTTTCCTCTCTTTCTCTCATAAGATTGAGCTGAACAATGGAGCCGGTACCTTCAAGAGTGCTGGCTTTGAAATCAGAACCCTGGATGGAAGTAAGATCAACTTTTCTGCGCTTTTGTAAATTGATAATGAAACAGCTCTTACTCAGCGAGAGCAAGGGAGTTTCCTGAAACTGATTGTGGTTTCTTTTGAAAAACTGTTTTTCTTTTTCTCCTTCAAATACTCGTTTTTTTTTTTTGCCACTCTTTTGTTTGATAGATCAAGGTTAACATCGATTTATCCTTCCTCAAACGTTCTCAGAAGTTTATCAGAGTCAGACTGTGTTTCATTTCACGAACATCAATCGAAGATACAGTACCGCTCAGATACACCTCAACTAGATAACACACCTAAATGCGCAAAAGATCGCATGCTGTATCATTAGTTGTGGACCTCATCAAACGCAGCTCTCGACTCTCGTTGCTATTGTGAATGATATCCTTGATGAACGTGTCATCTTAATGGTATCCTGTACTAATTTGTCTTTTGTTTACTTCAGTGCCTGAAGATTTCGACCCGCCTGCATTGTACGTTGTCAGCAGCACAGCAATCCGCGTGAGTTGGAATGAGACTGGAAATCCAAATGGAGTCGTTATATTGTACAAAATATATGTGTAAGTAAATTCTATACTAACTTTTCTTTCATCAGCAGTAGAACAATGAGTCTTTGGTTTTAGGGAAGCTACGCTTTTTCTGAGATAGCTGTTGAACGTTGACCGACAAGTGTTCTTTTTTTTCATTTTTTGCACAGAAACAACACGTTATGGGCCAACACTACTGGCGACCAGCTACAAATAACTGTGTCTGGACTGCAGCCATTTACCTACTATAGCATCAAGGTTAGCTGTTCATCCCTTTGATTACTATTGATTGACTTCAAAAGTCGTCATAAATAATTAAGGGAGCTACTTGTAAATATTTTATTCCGAAATTTCTGGTTTGTTGTATGTAAACTTTGTCCATCCTCGGTCCTCCGCGGTTCATAGCTACTGACAGTTTATTCACCACCGACTGTTGTGGGTAGCAATTTTCTGGTTCGTTGTAGATGTTAGATCATGATTCCCAGCTAAGCGATCCTCTCATTATTTTTTTTTAAGGTGGCAGTGTGCACTACACACGGTTGTACTCTGAGTGATGCAATACAAGCGCAGACAAATGCTGCCGGTAAAATTGTGTGGTTTTTCGTTACTTGAATGTTCCTGTTTTTATTTTTGTTGACAAGTCAGCAGATTGTTTAGTGATGAGTTTTCTGAAGTGATTTATCTGTTTTTATCCCAATTAGCACCGACAGGTTTTGCTACTCCGCGACTCACTGCAGGATCAACTTTTATTGTTGTCCAGTGGGGTAAGTTGGATTTTTTGTGGTAGAGAAAAAACTAGTGAGGAGTTTGAGAAAGTTTTATAAATATCTTTGCGATGTTTTTCTCTTTCGTATTTAGAGCCTCCTTCTCGTCCAAACGGAATCATGTCTGGGTATCAGATTTTTAGAAGAAGGGTGTACCCATGTCCAACAAGGTATGAAACACATTTTCTTTTGATCAGATCCTTTTACTTGTGGTATGTAGGAGTATTGCATGTTCCCATTTCCAACAGTTTCAATCCTTTTACAATTCTTAACTTCCTATTGACCCGGAAATGACATTTTGTTTTCAGTCCGCCACCAAACTCTAAATGCACTTTCATTGAGTGTCTCTTGTCAGAGCAGTTGTGTGGAGTCACGTGTTACGACCCAGCCAGTCAGGTAGGTATCTTAAGAGTAAGGCCCTGGTTAGAGAAGTAGAAGAAGGCGTTTGGAAGTTTTACATTTGTTAAAAAGGCATTTGATTCTCTTACAAGCTCCCGTGCCAACGGATGGAGGAGGCCTTGGGCTCTCTTTATCACGCAAAACTCCTTCAACGAAACACTTACAAAACATAAACTGCAACATCAGTTCTACTGCAGCAAGGTTCAATCGTTCAATAAGAAAGTTATTTCATTCAAAATGAACCATAGTTCCCTGTCGAAAGGCTCTTTATTTGTTTAAGCAGGTTGAGTTTATGGCAGCAATTTTGCTGATGTGGACCTGCTTTTTTCCCCACCCTTCCCAGCCCAGGGGAGGACATCCACCACACAGTAATCTCGTGCGTAGGAAATTAACGTCTTCTACTCCTAACCCTGCAGGAGGCGGGACCCACACGATAGTCTGGCGCTCTACCAATTGAGCTAACCAGGAGGCAGTTATACGAATCTAAAAATTTACAATCTTTTTTATTCTATTTAGGTAACTTTGGGCTAAAACTGCAGTGTAAACCAAGAAAATCTGCCAATACTGCAAAATAATGTTTCTCTTTTCACTTATAGGTCACTGAATAGAAGAAAGCCATCAGACATAAGATACTTTAAGGTAAAAGTTTTTAATTTAATTTATAGTTTGCCTGTGAATCTTAGGCTGCCCTACAACTGGTAACAACAAAACAGGAAGTTCTGAAAATTAATTCAAACTTTTCAGTATGCTAATTTTGAGATTAAAGTAAATTACTTGGTCAGTCAGACATGGTTTGATATGTTACTCTGGTCAGTTGTTAGCACTTGAGGCTTTAAGATGCTTTTAACAGGATATATCATTGCTATCATGGTAACCTGTATAGTACAACGGTTGTAAGAATTTACATTTACCATATTCATGAGTATATGTGGCCAACATATCTGAACTTACAACGAGTCCCTACACGTAGAGAGCTGCACTCATCAGACTGTATTAGACTACAGGTTCCTTTTGAAAAGGGGACCT